CTCCAGTCTGGGCGACAGAGTGAGACTCCAACTTAAAAAAAATAAAAAGATAAAAAGAGATCACCTCTCACATATGACCGTCTGGGGTGCAATCCGATGCCACATGGAAGATGCAAAGAAGTGCACAGAAGTTAGTTTAAAAATATAGTTTATTTAAAAGTAAATTAGAGAAAGAAAAGATTCATCTCCCCAAGGTGGGGGTGGGGTTGGGCAAAGCCAGGAAGCATGGAGACAGCCATAGCTCAAAGAGTACATGGCCACACCAGAGTCTAGCAAGGCAATGGCCCTACATTATTTTTATATTGTTTGTCGTTAAGGTGTGGTACTATATTGAAAGATATGAGGGGGACCCCAAAAAACCCGGAATTTATTTACATAAAATTGTACATTTATTCTTACATGTTTAAACTTAAGTCACTTTCAAAATACCTGTTGAGACACTTTTTCCACTGCTCAAAACAGTTTTTGAACTTGTCAATTTTGATGTCTTAGTGGATCTGCCGTTTTTTGTTTCACCTTTTCTACATCAGCAGATTTCTCTTTGAGGACTTTTTTCATCTGGGAAACAAAAAAAAGGCTCTTAGGTCAAGATCTGGTGAATAAGGAGGTGTGGGACACAGGGGTCATGCCGTTTTTGGTCAAAAACTACTGAACAGTCAGCATGGTATGGGCAGGTACAAATTGTTATGATAGAAAAACCAGTCACCTGTTTGCCACAACTCAGGATATTTCTTCTGCAAATCATGATGCATCCTCAACTTCCACATAAAAACTTTGGTTGACCATTTGATCCAAAGGAACAAATTCTGAGTGTACTACAAGGGGTCTGCCCTCCAAATGATAATTCCAGGGTTTTTTTGTATGTGTTCCCTCTTGTTTTTGTTTTTGTTTTTTTTCCTTGAGTCGGAGTCTCACTGTGACCCAGGCTGGAATGCAGTAGCATACTTATGGCCACCGCAGCCTTGACCTGCTGGGCTCAGGTCATCCTTCTGCCTCTGCCTTCCAAGTAGCTGGAACTATAGGCACGTACTACCACGGCCGGCTTATTTTTTGATTTATTGTAGAGACAAAGTCTCACCAAGTTGCCCAGGCTGGTCTCAAACCCCTGAGCTCAGGCATTCCTCTCGTCTTTGCCTCCCAAAGTGCAGACATTGCCCAGTGTCCCCTGAGGTTGCAAAGTCACCCCAGCTGAAAACCACTGTCCTAAGTAGTTAAGCCAAAAAGGTAATGCCACATCTGACATTTTTGTGTAGTCAAATACTGTAAAACTTTTATCACTCAAGTTCCCAGGAAGAAGTCTTCAACTATCAGGAAGTAGTCTACTTACTTCAAATGTGTGAGATCATATTTTTATTCAAAAAAAAGAAAAAGACTTTTGACTGGAGTTTATTGAACTGGGCATTGATCAACAGAAACATTATTTGCTTAGAAACTTTATTTGCTTAGAAACATTACAGGCTGGAGCTACTGTATCCACCCCCCCCAACTTATATTCGAAAATATTTACATAAATGTTTACTATATTTTAAAAGTATAACTTAATTATTTCTGAATTAGAGTTTTGATGCATAGAAATAGGCCTATTTTTTCATATTATCTTGCATGATGGTGGGTTGTTTGGGGAGAAAAAGGAACGCCTTTTTCTACTTTTCATATGCTTTGGAATGATAATAGCTATCAAAATTATAACTAAAACATTTTTATCTACGGTTTAATAAGTTGTTGATATTCTGATGTTCTAATTAAACTGATCTTCATCACCTAGGGTCAGAGCACTTACTCTAGGCAGATCAAGCAGGTTGAGGATGACATTCAACAACTTCTCAAGAAAATTAATGAGCTCACTGGTATGTATTTTTAAATTCCCATTTCCTCTCTTTAAATGTAATGTGTTAGCCGGGCTCAGTGGCTCAGCCTGTAATCCCGCGCTTTGGAAGGCTGAGGTGAGTGGATTGCCTGAGCCCCGGGGTTCGAGACTGCCTGGACAACTTGGCAAGACCTCATCTCTACAATAAATCAAAAATTAGCTGAGCGTGGTAGCGCGTGCCTGTAATTCTGGCGCCTGTAATTCTGGGAAGGCTGAGGCGGAAGGATCGCCAGAGCCCAGCAGGTCGAGGCTGAGGTGGCCGGGAGCGGCCACTGCACTCCAGTCTGGGCGATGGAGTGAGACTCCAACTCAAAAAAAACAAAAAACAAAACAAAAAAAGCAAAAAAACCCAAATAAATGTAATGTGCTGATTATATCAAAAGAGTTTAAATACAAGTTTTACTCCTCCATGAGTTACAGATTTTTAAAAATTATCCTTTTTGTCACTGAAGAAATTAAATCTCAGTTAACACTCTCTTTTGCTGCTTTTTACTACCAAGTTTAATGGTTATGCAATTGAAAAAGAACATCATCTTCTTTTTTTTTTTTTTTTGAGTTGAAGTCTCACTCTGTCACCCAGGCTGGAGGGCAGTGGCATGCTCCTGGCCACCACAGCCACGACCTGCTGGGCTCTGGCGATCCTTCCACCTCAGCCTTCCAAGTAGCTGGAACTACAGGTATGCGCCACCATGCCCAACTAGATTTTTTTTTTGTAATTTATTGTAGAGATGAGGTCTCGCCAAGTTGCCCAGGTGTGTCTCGAACTCGCGGGCTCAGGCAGTCCACTCACCTCAGCCTCCCAAAAGCGCAGGATTACAGGCTGAGCCAACTGAGCCGGGCTAGAATATCATCTTCTAAGCAAATAATGTTTCTGTTGATCAATGCCCAGTTCAATAAACTCCAGTCAAAAGTTTTTTGGGTTTTTTTTTGAATAAAAATATGATCTCACATATTTGAAGTAAGTAGACTACTTCCTGATAGTTGAAGACTTCTTCTTGGGAACTTGAATGATGAAAGTTTTACAGTATTTGACCACACAAAAATGTCAGATGTGGCATTACATTTTTGGCTTAACTACTGAGGGCAGTGGTTTTCAGCTGGGGTGACGTTGCAACCTCAGGGGACACTGGGCAATGTCTGGAGACATCTTGATTTTCATGACTTGAGGGAGGGTGGTGCTAGTGGCTTCTGGTCGCTAGAGCCAGGGGTGCTGCTAAACAGGCTACAATGCACAGAACTGTCTTCACAACAGAATTGTTCAGTCTAAAAGGTCAGTAGTGCTGACCTTTGGAGTGATGAATTATGTTTTAGTGAATTTTGTCATCTTTCTCTACGTAGGTATTAAAGAGTCTGACACTGGCCTGGCCCCACCAGCACTCTGGGATTTGGCTGCAGATAAGCAAACACTCCAGAGTGAACAACCTTTGCAGGTTGCAAGGTATGCACAGTGCACTGTGGCAACTTATTTTTATCAGTATTTCCAAGCACTTTTTAGAGTCTTGGGGATAATTTTTATGCCAGATCCCAAGTAAATATAAAACTTTTTACAAAACTCTCTGATTAAAATTTTATGTCTTAAACAATTAAAAAAATGCAGGAAGACATAATTATGTAAAATATTTAAATGCCACAAAAATATAGAGAGCAAAATATGAAAACCTCCCTTATTATCCTTGCTTTCCCATTGTCCCTTCCTCAGACATAACTAGTAAAATGGTTGGTCCTCCTAATCCTTTTTCTGTGTATCTTCCTGTATATATTTACACGTAAAAAAAAAAAAAAAAATCCTGGTCAGGCATGGTGGCTCATGCCTGTAATCCCAGCACTTTGAGAGACCGAGGCAAGAGGATTGCTTGAGCCTAGAGTTTGAGACCAGCTTAGGCAACATAGGGAGATCTCGTCTCTACAAAATAAAAAAATATGCTGGGCATGATGGTACACACCTGTAGTCCCAGCTACTTGGGACAAAATTCCCTCAGAATTTTGAAGGCATTGTTCCATTGTCTTCTGCCTCCCAGTGTTAGTCTAAAGCCATTCTGTTTCCCAATCCAGTGTATGTTACCTGTTTTTCCTCAAAGTTGGAGGGTCTCCTCTTCTTCTCATGTTCTGAAATTTCATGGTAATGTGCCTTGGTGTTGGTCTGTTTTCATCCGTTGTGCCAGCCTCTCGTGTCTTTCAGTATGGCAGATTTTCTTGAAACCATTTACTGATAATTTCTTTCCTTCATTGTTCTCGGTCCTTTATTCCTGACTTCTCTTATTTGTATATTAGCCCTTCTGGATTGCTCCTCTATTATGCTAATCTTCCTCTCCCATTTTTCTTCTTTTTGTCTTCTTGCTTTACTCTCTATGAGCTTTTCTTTTCTTTTTTGAGTTGTAGTCTCAGTCTGTCGCCCAGTGACCGCTCCCGGCCACCGCAGCCTTGGCCTGCTGGGCTCCAGCAATCCTTCTGCCTCAGCCTTCCGAGTAGCCGGAATTACAGGCATGTGCTACTATGCTCGGCTGATTTATTGATTTATTGTAGAGATGAGGTCTTGCCAAGTTGCCCAGCAGGTCTCGAACCCGCGGGCTCAGGCAATTCACTCACCTCAGCCTCCCAAAGGTGCGGGATTACAGGCTGAGCCACCGAGCCCAGCTTATGAGCTTTTCTTAATTTTATCTTTGAATACTTCTGCTGATTTTTTTTCTTCCCATTTCTCACAGGTTTTTAATTTCTCAGGTTTTTAATTTCAGAGAGCTCTTTTTTATTTCCTTGTGTTTGTGTGTGTGTGTGTGTGTGTTTTAATGTTCTGTTCTCACATCATGGTTGTAGTATGTTCTCATCTCTCTAGGTAAATTAATACAGGTTGGGTATCTTTTGCTTGGGACCAAAAGTGTTATAGATTTTGGAACTTTTTGGATTTTGGAATATTTGTTATATTACTGTTTGAGCATCCTAAATCCAAAAATCTAAAATCTGGAATGCTCCAATGAGCATTTTCTTTAAGTGTCATGTTAGTGCTTAAAAACGTTCAGATTTTGGAGCATTTCAGATTTAGAATTTTTTGATTTGGGATGCTCAGCCTGTAACTTGCAGGTTTGTTTCCTCCAAGATACTTTTTTCCCTTTTTGCTTTGTTTGGTCTTTATCTTTTGTGTCTTTTTATGTCAGGTAATCTTAAATTTGAGGCTTTGGCTTTGGTGAGAGGCCAGAAAGCTAATAGAAAGCTGTAAATTCTACAGTGAGGGATGCTGATCTTAAGCGTCACTATAGGTGATGTGGTTGAACTGTTTAGTTGGGGCACCTCCGTGTGTGTCACTATCTTTTGGACTTTTAATTTGAATAGTTACATTTCCTAGAGAAGTCTTTTCAATGTCCTGCTATCTCCAATCTCCAACAGTGGAGACAGGAAGGTGGGGATTCTTAGCAACAAGTTTGCTTATGTTTACTCTCCTTCCCCTTTCACTGCCCCCTGCCCAAATTTTCTGTAGATTTGCCCCCACCTCCATCACTGGCATTCCTTGATAGCTTCTGTTTTACTCTTTCCAGAACAGGGGTTGGCAAACTTTGTATAAAGGACCAGATAGTAAATGTTTTAAACTTTGGAGGACAGCCGGGCTCAGTGGCTCAGCCTGTAATCCCGTGCCTTTGGGAGGCTGAGGTGAGTGGATTGCCTGAGCCCGCGGGTTTGAGACCCGCCTGGGCAATTTGGCAAGACCTCATCTCTACCATAAATCAAAAACTAGCCGGGTGTGGTAGCACGCGCCTGTAGTTCCAGCTACTTGGAAGGCTGAGGCAGAAGGATCACCGGAGCCCAGCAGGTCGAGGCTGCGGTGGCCGGGAGAAGCCACTGCACTCTAGTCTGGGCGACAGAGTGAGACTCCAAATCAAAAAATAAAAATAAAAAATAAAAAAATAAAAAACTTTGGAGGACAAGAAGTAAAATTGAGGACATACGTGGTTACTTATCTAACAAGAGAGAAAATAAATTGATTGTCAATGTTCATCTTAAGGACCAAGCAGATTTTGGCCCACAAGTAATTTCCTGGCTTCTGATCTAGAGAATAAGTCTGTAGTCTTGTCAATATAAGGGAAGACAGGCCAGTCAGTGTTGAGGAGAGGATCCTCAAGTCTGACTTCTTAACTCTTTTATTTTAGGAACCACCTTGCCCACCTTCCCATACCTCCCCTCTGTTTTCTAGGTATACCTAATGCCATCAATACCTGAGCTTAAGCTTTTGATGATTTTTGGTCTAAATCAAGCAGATACTCTGTCTTCCCCATTGCCTTTTAGGAATCAGTTTTCTTGTTTCTGGTATGTCATTTACCACTTGTGCATCTGCTTTCCAGCTACCAAAATTTAATTGCTGTGTTCAGTCCCTTTATGGTTTTAGCAACATTTTTAGGAGGAACAAAAATTCATGCATTTATTATCTTCAACCACAGGTTCCTTGAAGGTATTTTTGCTTATTTTTAATATGATACAAGATTCTAACTTAATGTTATTTCTGACTGGATACTATTGTCTCAGTGCCTTTTCTTTCCAGATTTGAAATGCTACCTTTACAATAATCTAAATTTCAGATTTGCATTTGCTTTTGGATTCGCTATACCTTTTCATTGGTGAAATGCTTATCTCTATGCAGTGCTTTCTCTTTTTTTTAAAGTCAGGATCTCACTATCTTGCCCAGGTAGGAGTGCACCGGCATGACTGCAGCTCACTTCAGCCTTCACCTCCTGGGCTGAGGTGATTCTTCTGGCTCAGCCTCTTGAGTAGCTGGGACTACAGTCATGTGCCACCATACCTGCTAAGTTTTTATTTTCGTTTACACTTCAGCCTCCCAAAGTGCTGAAATGACAGGCATGAGCATCTGGCCTGCATTTAGTTCATTGTTTAATTTGAAGTAGGCTTGTTATTCTTCAAAATACCTATTTTTTAAATCCTGAAATATATTGTTTTTTATATTTAAGTTTTATATTAGGACCTTCCAGAAATGTTTTATGAGGTTTTTACACATTTCTTGTTATGATTATTTCTAAATATTTTATTGCCCATAAAATATATATTGTTAATAGAATCTTTTAAACTTACCTTTTTTACACTTACAGGTTTATTGTAAAGGGTACTATAAAGCAGTGGTGCCCAACCTTTTTGGCATCAGGGACTGGTTTTGTGGAAGACAATTCCATGGACTGAGGTGGGGGAGGTTTCATGATGATTCAAGCACATTACATTTATTGTGTACTTTATTGTTATTACATTATAACATATAATGAAATAATTAACAACTCACCACAATGCATAATCAGTGAGAGCCCTGAGCTTTTTTTTCTGCAACTAGATGGTCCCGTCTGGGAGTGATGGGAGACAGTGACGCACGAAGTGTCTTGCTTATGTCCAGTCTACTCCGTAATCTCATTTTGATTGTCATCACTGCAGAAAACCCTGCTTCACAAAGATAGGATGTTAGAAATGGAAACAAGCTTTTCAGTGCTTTTGTGGCAATCTTAGGATATTCCATCTTGCCTTTAATCTAGAACATATGGAAGTTTGAAGTTGTCTCAAACATACTTTTAAGGCCACCATCATTTGCTGTCTCAAGTAGTTGATCCTCTTCTAGCAAGGACAAAGTCGATTCACCTGGCCTATTCACAAATGGGTCATAGACTAATTCCTTCCCAATTTAGGGGTCCTTTGTGGTTGGGAAGTAATGCACAAACTCTTTTAAAAGCTGAGATAGGTAATCATGCATCAGTTGGGAGAAAGAAGACCCTGGCTCAGTTTCTTTCAAAATTTCTGCTAATGTTTGAAACGTGAAAAATTCCAGTGTTTACTCGTCGCCTCCATCCTTTCCAATTTGGCTTTGAATGTTGCCACTTTGACTTGAACACAGTTGTCATTCTCCTCTGAAGTGACAGATTGAATTCGTTGAGCAGGTTGAATATGTCACACAAGTAAGTAAGTTTTGCAGCCTATTCTGTGTCACTGAAATGTGCTGCCAGTGGTGACTGTTTTTCTAAAAGAAGTATCTGGAGTAGCTCTCATTACTCAAAAACTCTGACCAGTGATCTACCTTTAAAAAGCCATCTTGCAGATGATATGATGGTGTACCTTGAAAACCCAAGAGAATCTGTCAAAGGCCTCCTTACATTGATAAAAGCCTTTGGCAAAGTCTCAGGATACAAAATAAATGTACAAAAGACAATCACATTTCTCTACACCAATAATAAACAAACAGAATCCCAAATAAAAAGCACAGTTCCATTCACAATAGCCACAAAAAAAATGAAATACCTTGGCATCTTCCTAACCAGAGATGTGAAAGACCTTTACAATGAAAATTACAAAACACTGCTCAAAGAAATCAAAGCTGACACGAACAAGTGGAAAAATATCCCATGCTCATGGATCGGAAGAATCAACATTGTGAAGATGTCCATCTTACCTAAGGCAATCTACAAATTCAATGCAATACCCATTAAATTACCAACAACATTCTTCTCAGACCTAGAAAAAACAACACAGGAATTCATATGGAAACACAAACGTCCAAGAATAGCCAGAACAATCCTCAGCAAAAAAAACAAAGCAAGTGGTATCACAATACCAGATTTCAAACTTTACTATAAAGCTACAATCATCAAAACAGCTTGGTATTGGTACAGGAACAGGCATATAGATCAATGGAACAGAATTGAGATTCCAGAAGCAAAACCTCGATTTCTCAACCAACTCATCTTTGACAAAGCCCCCACCACCTACCAATGGGGAGAGGAGAACCTATTCAGTAAATGGTGCTGGGAAAATTGGCTGACCACATGCAGAAGATTGAAACAGGACCCCTATCTATCCCCATGCACAAAAGTTAACTCCAAATGGATCAGAGACATAAATGTAAAACCTCAAACCATAAGAACCTTAGAAAAGGAAGGAAATATTCTCATGGAAATCAGAACTGGCTTCCAATTCCTGTACAAAACTCGAAACCCACAGGACTTAAGAGAGAAGATAGACAAATGGGACCTTATTAAACTGACAAGCTTCTGCAAAGCCAAAGAAACCATCAAGAGAGCAGGAAGACAGCCTACAGACTGGGAAAAAGTATTTGCCAACTCTAGGTCTAACAAAGGCTTAACATCCTGGATCTATAAGGAACTGAAGCGTACTGAAAAGAAGAAAACAAACAACCCCATTATAAAATGGGCAAAAGACATGAACAGACACTTCACAAAAGAAGACATTCGAGCAGCCAACAAACACATGAAGAAATGCTCAACCTCACTAATCATCAGGGAGATGCAAATCAAAACCACACTGAGATACCACCTAACTCCAGTCAGAATGGCAATTATCAACAACTCAAAAAATAACAACTGCTGGAGAGGGTGTGGTGAAAAGGGAACACTTCTACACTGTTGGTGGGAGTGTAAACTAGTGCAACCTCTGTGGAAGCAGTGTGGCGATTCCTAAAAGCTCTAAAAATTGACCTTCCATATGACCCTGCAATCCCCCTACTGGGAATATACCCTGAAGAACACAAATCACTCTATAAAAAAGATACCTGCACACGTATGTTTATCGCAGCGTTGTTCACAATAGCAAGAACCTGGAAATAACCATGCTGCCCATCAAAAGAGGACTGGATTAAAAAAATGTACATATACACGATGGAATACTACGCAGCCATAAAAAAGAACAAAATCATGAATTTCGCTGCAACCTGGATGGAACTAGAGTCTATAATACTGAGTGACCTCTCACAGAAACAAAGATCCGAATATCACATGTTCTCACTCATATAATGGACCTTGAACATCCAATGCAATACTATAAGAAAATGACTGATGGTACTGGGAAACTATGGGGGGGAGGGGGGTGGGATTAACAGTAGCAAATATCTGTCGGGGGATGGGAAAACACCTCTTATCAACAGGGTGCCTGAATGAAACGTAATTGTACACCTAACCCTTAACTGTACCCCACAAAACCATAATAAAAAATACTGATTAATGAAAAAATAAATAAATAAATAAAAATAAATAAAAAGCCATCTCGGCTGGGCTCAGTGGCTCAGTCTGTAATCCCGCGCTTTGGGAAGCCAAGGTGAGTGAATTACCTGAGCCCGCGGGTTTGAGACCTGCCTGGGCAACTTGGTGAGACCTCATCTCTACAATAAATCAAAAAGTAGCCGGGAGTGGTAGCACGCCTGTAGTTCCAGCTACTTAGAAGTCTGAGGCGGAAGGATTGCTGGAGCCTAGCAGGCCGAGGCTGCAGTGGCCGGGAGTGTGCCACTGCACTCCAGTCTGGATGACAGTGAGACTCCAACTCAAAAACAAACAAACAAACAAACAAAGCAAAAAAAGCCATCTCACTTCTGTGTATAAGAGAAGATGTGTGTGCTCTGTGTTCATCTAACAGAGCTGTGAAAACAGACATGAGTTATGGGTTGATAATCTTAATCGTATTCTTTAAAAGGTTGTTAAGTTCATGTGACATTTTCCGGCTAGCTAGCATTTCTCTGTGGATGACATAGTACATAGACTCACATTCAGAAGCAACTTTTTTGACCTGAGTAGTGAAACCAAAACGCTGTCCAGTCATGGCAGCTGTTCCATTTGTGCTTATACCAACACAAAATGACCAATTCAGTTTTCCTGATATGTCATTCAAAGACTTGAACAGTTCCTGGTATGTCATTCAAAGACTTGAATACTTTCTGATATGTCATTCAAAGACTTCAGTAGTTCCTGGTATGTCATTCAAAGACTTGAATAGTTTCTGATATGTCATTCAAAGACTTCAGTAGTTCCTGATATGTCATTCAAAGACTTGAATAGTTCTGCACCTGTGGTATTGGTTGGCAGCAAAAGTGCACGTAACATATCCTCATGCTCATCCTTCTGAAAAATATATCAGACAAAAAACAAGCATTGTTGCCTTGTTAGCATCATTAGACTCATCAGTCTGGATTGCCATGGCTCATTATTGGATGACTCATTATTCGTCTCTAACAATTAGGCCTCAGTATCTTCTGCTGTTTCATCAATTCGCCTAGTTATGATGCTAGCTGAAAGAGGAACACATGTCAGGTCAGATAAAGACAACCCCTGAGGATGAAACTTTTCAGCTAGCTGCCAGGTGGGACAAATAGTTGACAGTGGGATTGGGCTTTGGGGGAGCTCCAAACCAATTTTGCCAGTGTTCTTGTTGCTTTTACTTGAAGGTCCTTATTCTGTAATTTTTGGAAGTTGAGGTCCCTGTATATATACTTTTTAAGCTGTTGTGGATTAAAAGATTCATATCTGTGCATATAATGGTGGCCAGGTCTGTCAGATTATGTAGTGATAAATTCTCAGATAGATAGATAGATGATAACGTGATAAATTCTCTCTCTCTCAGATAGATAGATAGATGATTCTTCTTCCCTAGTAGACTTTGACTGGAAACAGAAAACAGGGTCCTGTCACACAATAATGCCAAAAGAACAAAGCACTCCTTACCTTACTTTTGTCTCTGTCTTTATGTACACTTTAGAGGCTGTTTTGTATTTCTTTATATATTTGTTGCTGTGGTTTGTCTAGCAGTTTGTAGCCTGAGTTCTGTTTTTTGTTTTTGTTTTTCTTCAGTAGACAGATACTATAGAAAGGTAAAGGACGTTGACTAATTTATACTTTGATATGCATGGTATTATAAATTTATTTTCACACCATGCCATACATAAATGAATTAAGCTAAAAATGGCAAAGCAATAAAAATGGATTTGAAGTATAAAGTCAGGAAAAAATGAAAATAAATTATTACTGATTTGATGTAAGACAAGATTATCTTCTTGTGCAAATAAAAAGGAGAACAACTTAAGATATAATGAGACATCACTAATAATAAAGGAAGATAAATTATAAAAATAAATTAGAGACCTTCTTAATGAGGAAATACCTGTTTGGGTTTAATTTCCCATGGGAATGTATCTTTTGAAAATTTTATGGCTTGGCTAAAGTTGAGTGGACCCTTGGAGTTGAACATAGAAAGGGATCTTTAACAGTGGCCCAGTTTCTGCAGTTCTAGTTTACACCTATATACTGTAGGCCCAAGAGGGAATCTAATTACTTGAATTTGTTATTAGTGGTTTAGGTTCCTGACACTAACCAAGCCTTTTGCTGTGTTAGGTGTACAAAGATAATCAATGCTGATTCGGAGGACCCAAAATACATTATCAACGTAAAGCAGTTTGCCAAGTTTGTGGTGGACCTTAGTGATCAGGTGGCACCTACTGACATTGAAGAAGGGATGAGAGTTGGGTAAGATATCTATTTACCATAAATACTTTTCTTCCATTAAAGATATCGTGTCACCTTCATGTCCTTGTTGTGAGTGAATGAGCTGAATACCTTGGAACACTAAAGGGTAGTCTAGCAATGTGCTACAGTTGAAAATCCTTTATTTCTGCATCTGCTTGCTAACTTCTTGCCAGCCTCCCTGACTTCCTAGTCCCACATGGCTTTTTTGAATGACTTCAAATGTCATAATTTATGTAAGTGCAGAATTTCAAAGTTGACTTTACCAGTCCATTTAAGGTAACATGGTATAGGTTGGGGAAGTACTTGCTTTAGGATACTTATGATGATTAAATTAATGCCTGTAGAATATATAATAATTCACTCAGTACATTTTAAAAATCTTTGCTCCCTCCTTGAGTCAAAGATATAGTTGCTGTTGTGTCAGTTATTTGCCACTTCAAGTTGATGATTTAGTATCCTGAGTTTTAATTCTCTGTTTCTCTTTATATAACTTTAGGGACTCTATCTTGCTTGTTTAAAGTATGGTCTTAAGGATAAAAGACTAAACATGAAAGCACTTTGAAAGCTTATAGAATGTGCTAATGAGTATCTTTTTTACTTCCTTAGTGTGGACAGAAATAAATACCAAATTCATATTCCATTACCTCCTAAGATTGACCCAACAGTTACCATGATGCAGGTAAGAAACTATGAGGGGAAAGGAAATGGTATGACTTTTCATAGTATTGCATACATCTCAGAAACATGTTAAAAGTTTTAACTAATAAACTACTAATGTATAGGTATGTATCAAAGAATTGCCAAAATGTAAAACACTGGTGGTAGACGGGAAGGAGGGTGGGGGGTAAAAAACTACCTAGGTACAGTGATCACTATTCAGGGCATGGGGACACCAGAAACCCAGTCCTCACTAATATGTAATATGCCCAGGTGGTAAACTTGCACTTGGACTCCCTGAATCTTTAACAATTAAAACAAAACTAAGTTTTCAGATGAGAAAGTCTTTATCAGTAAGTTTGTCTTTTACTTACTGGTGTCATGACAAGTAATACAGCAAGTGTATTCCATTTTTACTAAAATTGTCACTCTATATTGGTCTGATTTTTCTTTTAAAGTATAGGGTGTACTCTATTGTTGTTTTTTGTGGTGTTTTTTTTTCTTAAGTCGAAGTCTCACTCTGTCACCCGGGCTGTAGTGTAGCAGCATGCTCCCTGCCACTACAGTCTCGACTTGCTGGGCTCAGGTGATCCTTCTGCCTCAGCCTTCCAGGTAGCCGGAATTA